CTAAACTGTCATCCTAAACGTCAAAGCAGCCTAAGTATTGTTAGTTTACATTTGTTTCTTTTGTAATGCTAAAGCACTTACAAAATGCTTGGGGAGGGAGATTTCAGCTAAGAAGCAGCCAAGTAATGACTCCCTTGAACTGAAATGGGAACAACAGCAGAAGTAAAGCTGCCACAGATTTTGGAAACAATACAAAGCACTGGAAATATTTCACTTTCTGGATTGGGAGTGAAGAATTTGGAACTCCAGTCATAAACAAAGACCAGAGAAGAATCTGAAAGAGTTTTTGGAAACCACACAACAAATGCAAACATCTGAATGGAATAACAAAGACACAGAATGTGGACTTTTGGTAATATGAAGAAGGAAAGAGTCTAAGAACAAGAAAGGACAACACACTCTGCCTGTTGTGTCCTGAGCCTGCAAAAGCAGGCTCGGGACGTTGCATTGGTCCCGGGCATTCCAAAAGCTGCTTGGGACCAGACAGAGCGGTGCCGGCCTTGTGCACATGCGCAAGGTGCAAAAATGCTCTGTTCCTATTGGTTGACACTGTCCGGGCTTCTGGCCATATAAAAAGGCCTGCATGCCTTTTGCTTTTGCTTGGTTGTTGTAGAAGGAGAATAAAGTTGTTCAGCATCGCCATGTGTCTTCATCATTCACATGCAAACGAAGTATACAACACTGCCCGTAATGACTCAGATGAAAACAGACATATTATGTGTTAAGCAATGGGCAAAATTAGAGGTATTCTGACTGAACTCAAGCTGCCTGTACGTGAGCTTTGAGGGGTCAACCTTTAAAACAAAATACACCTTACAAGAGACAGATAGCTGGATGAACAACACTAAACAGTTTTCTATGTCTATGAAAATGTCTGTGTCTGTCTTTCCCAAAATTTTTCATGATTTTGCAAGTTTTTAAAATAAGGCATTAGTAAGAGGAGAGTATGAGTGAATAAGTAAACTTATTGTATAGGATACTTTTAGACCAATGTTTTTAAACTTGGCAGCTTTAAGATAGGAAGACTTCAGTTCCCAGTATTCCCCAGTCATGCTGTGGCATCTCTTTAAATATTACTTTGATTTTCTCCCATTCTGTTCCTGGCAGAAAAAGGAACTTTGGTGTACACAAGAAAGGGAATAACACATAAATATGTTTTAAATTCTTTCCAACTCAATGGATTATTAAAAAGAAGTTATGTTGAAGGAATCTGAGCTCTATCTGTCTGTCTATCTGGTCAAAAGAATGTGTGGGTTTCCCTATATTGTTTCTTTTAAAAACAATCACTTTCCAGCATAACATCTCTCTTTCTAGAATATTAAAATGTAAGAGGCACCTTGTTTGAAGAAATGATGGAGCAAGCCTAAAAAGCACACGTGTGCCAACACAACACAAGCATGCAACTCAACTCCAAAAATCCAAATGTTTGGGGCTGAATCTTTTTGATTTGGGCGATGCACTAGGCTTCAGCATTAGGACACTTTAAAGACAAACAAGTTGTGTCATGAGGTTTTTTTATAGAGTAGGTTTATCAGATAAAGAAAGCTATACAAAGACAGTTCCTCGGATTATTTATGTGAAAGTTTCTGGAATAGAACAGCAGAGCAGTCGAATAGAAGAATGAAGGTTTTCACACTGGCATCACCTGTTACCCACAGGGTCTCTCCCCTGGCATCTCTCCCCTATCTCTGGAGTGTGTGTGTGTGTGTGTGTGTGCATGGGTGTGTGTGTGATAGAGAGAGCGGCTCATCTCCTGAGCTGCCTTTCTGATGTTGAAAAAATAAAAATGCAAAAAGTGAAATAATGTCACCAGTACATACTTTAGAGCAGTGTCAACAAAAAATATATTACAGGATCCTCTAGATCACGATAAAACAGCAATTTAGAAAAACTATAGAAAAAGAAAATGCAGTGCTCCAGGCAGACCCCAGGATCTGCTATAAATTGTTCATTCTTTTCCCCAAAGTCTCATTTAAAAGAAGGGACTGGTTTGTGAGTCAAACTAATCGCATGAACATTCTAGAAGAAATTTGATATCATCACACGTAGTACGATAGATGGATAATAGATGGATAATAGACTAAGGGAATATATTAATTTTCCTGATTTGCACAAAGAAAAAAGAACAATAGAATTACTCAAACAAATAAATCAAGAATCTAACACAAGTTCCTGGCTGGACTTTCACTTATTTCTACTGAAATAACAGCACCTGAAGCATCTATTCCTCTGCTTCAGTTTTTCTAGACTCCCCACTTCTTGGTAATTCCAAACTTCAATCAGCGGCTATGGAGAATGATTTTAGTCACCTGCATTTCCCAGTCACAGTTCACAGCTTCTGGAGTTCTGTCGCTTGTTTGAAAAAAGGTCCCAGTGTTACCTGACGTTGTGTCTGAAAGCAAGGAAATGTGGATCGGGACTGCCCTCAGTCTGCTCAAAGAGATGTGAGTTTGAGTTCTGCCAGATCGTAGGAGAACTACAATCACAGCTTTTTATTTTTGAATATGTTTATACTGTTACAATATGGCAACAATGAAAGCTTCCCCATGCAGGCTTCTGGGCAGGCCACTGGGAGACTTTTGGTTTGATCCAGCAGAGGTCGTCTTCTCTGTTTACATTAGAGTGTCTTTCTATGTCAGTGGTTCTCAACCTGTGGGTCGGGACCCCATTTGGGGTCAAGCGACCATTTCATGGGGGTCGCCAAACAATGCAGTCTGCCATTTTTTCCCCCTTTTCCTTAGCTGTGGTACTCCCTTTTATTCCATTGGCTTTTGAAAGCCAATAGAATAGACTCTCTTGAATAGAGTCTAATTCTATTGGCTTTCAAAAGCCAATAGGAATTGTCTAGGCTGTCTCTGCCCTGCTGAGCCTGCCAAAAGTCCCATTCTGCAAACGGTGCTGCACCAGTTGAGTAGTCCTCAACTTATGACCGGTTGAGTAGTCCTCGACTTACGACCGGTTGGGGGGTCACAGCATTAAAAAGGTTGAGAACCACTGTCCTAGGTCAATGTTTCCTAACCTAGGCAACTTTAGGATGTATAGACTTCAACTCGCAGAATTCCCCAGCCAGAATCTATACACCTTAAAGTTGACAGAGTTAAGGGACACTGATCTAGGGTTCAGCTATGTGCACTGCCTGATTGCCATTTCAGTAGGGGAAAAAATTAAGGAGGTCGGAAATTATTGTCCTCTGTTAATCGCCCTACCCAAACAATGTGATCCCAGAATGTTTTTTTATGTTCCATTCCAAAAGTACCCTTATTTGTATGGTGCTGCCTTGAGGTCTTTTTTGGGTATCTCACTTCAGCTTCTTGTAGGCTAGCCTCACCAGTTCATTGGCTATTTTGATAAGGAAGGACCATCCCTTCAGCTAAGTCAGTGCTTACTATGACTTCTAATACCTTTTAATACCAATTTTTACTACGAGTGCTATAATGCACAAAAGCTATAATTGTTGTGCAAATAGAAGAGAACTAGGAAACTACTGTTTTTCCCTTCCTGAGCTTCCTTGTGCTAAAAAAAAAATGGCCAGCAGTGCACTATTTCATCATTTTTTCCAATAGCTTGAAATTAAAGGACTTCATGTTGTAAGTTACAACTTATACTGTAGATCATAAGCTATTTGGGCTATCTAGGAGCTCAAGTGAGTGAGAAATGGTAAAGCAATACATCACTGGAGACTTTTGTTTGCTTGCTTGTTTTAAAGCAGCAGCCCCCAAACGTTTTGGCTGCATGGACCAGCGCCGGCGTACGGTGGCATTCTGGAGGGAGGGGATAGTTTCGCACACTCAATCCCATGCATGTGCAAACGAAGCTTGGCACGCTTGCCTGCCACTTGCACAGTCCTGTTCCCACCGGGCCATGGACAGGTGCCAGTCCATGGCCCAGGGAGTGGGGATTCTTGTTTTAAAGTACGTGACAAAGTAGGGAATCCAGGGCACTCTTGGTTAGATTAGATCTAAATGATATCAAAAAGAAATAGTGAAAAGATTTTTTTTTCTTCAAAAAAGCTGTCTGTTTTGGCTGCAGGTATTTATTTACAGAAGGGTCTGCTCACAGGAAGGAAAGTAATTGGCCATTGTTTTCTTGATACCAAAAGGTGGGAGGGCACAGCATCAAGGGAATTGTCCAATGAGAAAATATGATAGCATGTAATCTGGACTTTATCCTCGTAAGCTCTGCCAAAGTTCATCGGTCTGGACAATATTTTCTGAAACAACCTGGAAATCAAGCTGGCATGAGCAAAGGACAGGAGCAACTTAAATGATAAATGCAGATACTGTATATATTTAGTTAGCTACTGCAACTGTGGCCTGTTAATAGAAAACGAAATTATATTGCTTTTGGTTCTCTTTTCCTCTCTTTTGGATTTTAAAAGACTTTTTCAGGAATAGGTTAAGGGAAGTAGTCCTTATCAACTGACTGGATGCCTTCCTGTAGTTTTACTTTTGGGAACTCCTCAGTGAAGTGCACCCGGTCAAACCTTTGCTTTTTTTATAGTGTAGATCCATCTAATCATAGGTTGCATCATACGTAAGTCTGTCAAAGTTCGGCGCATTCTGTAGTGATGAAAAGTATAGCTGAATTGAAGATTAAATTCCAAATTAAAAATGACTTCTGTTTTCCCCCTCCAATTCCTCTATAGGTAGTACTCGACTTATGACCACAACTGAGCCCAAAATTTCTGTTGTTAAGTGAGACATTTGTTAAGTGTTACTACCTTCTTTGCCACAGTATTAAGTGAATCACTGCAGCTGATTAGTTAGTTACCTGATTAAGTGAATCTGACTTCCCCATTGACTTTGCTTGTGAAAAGGTCATAAAAATGGATCATATGACCTTGGGACACAGTAACGGTCATAAATATGAATCACTTGCCAGGCATCTGAATTTTGATCACATGATCATGGGGAATGCTTCAAAGGTCATAACTCTGAAAAATGGTCATAAGTCATATTTTTCAGTGCCATTGTAACTTTGAATGGTCACTAAACAAACTGTTGTAAATCAAGGACTACCTTTATTATACATTCATGCATATAAATGAATGCACCCACAGAAAGATAGAGATGTATAGGTATTTCCAGGATAAGTGAAATATTCATTTTCTTTTCCCCACTATTCCAAACCAACTATTTTTCTTCCAAATAAGTAATGGGACATCAGCTTCAGTGCACAGAGCTTAACTTATCAAAATGTCAGTTAAATCAAAAAGGATGCTTGCAAATAGCTCTTTTTAAAGGACTCAAATGTTTTGTTTCCAGCTACCTTCCTAGCACTCTGTAAAGTTGAAGACAATCATGTGATACAGAAATATTCTCCAGAACTGTAATTATAAACACAGAGAAATGTGGGTTGTTGTTTTCTTTTTTTAAAAAAAAGAAATAGCAGCACTAAAAATAAAAATCCAAATACTTCAATACCATTACGCTATGCCATCTTGCAGCTTCGCAAACATATGTTGCCATCTCATGTCCATATGCTCTGCTGGTTGGCTTGCACTAGAGTGAAGATAAGCTAGCTACCATAAATCTTCTGAAGAGACGGCGTTGGCCAAGAACCTTTGGTTTGGGCGTCTGCCAAATGGAATTCAAGCTGAAAGTGAAAAAGGTGCCCGCCAGAAATTCAAGGTCAGAAGCTGTGTGGTCTGTATGAGAAACTGGGAGGGGAGCTGAGATAAATGAAGTCATATGACAGGTAGGGTATGCTACCATGGAAACGTGCCATGTGGCACCAAGGAAAACATTGCCCATTTCTCTAACTCAGGTCTTTGATTACATCATTTTATATACAGCATTCAAAGAGGAGGAGGAGGAGGAGGAGGAGAAGGACAAAAGAAAGATGGATAAGCAGGCAAAAAGCCATCTGCAACCGGCTTGTAATATATGCTTACGCTATTTGCACAGAGCACACATGCTCGGTATCTGGATTATGGGGAGAAAATTTGGGTACCACTTCTTCAAGTCTTCAAGTCTATTCTACTGCTTCACCCTTTCAGTTTAGTTTAATTATAGTTCCCTGCAATGACTGCATAGGTGAGAACAGCATCATATACAGCATCTCTCTCAAAACCTCAATCATATTCTTGTAAGACAGTGGGAAAACCAAGGGAGAAAGACTTGGTTTTGACCGTGTGTGTGTGTGTGTGTGTCTGTGTGTCTGTGTGTGTGTGTGTGTGTGTAAGGAAGAAAATTCCCATTTCAAATTTCCTAGCTTCTGATCCATCAAGGTCCTACAGGAAATCATATTTGCCCCACAATGCATCCAAAACTGAGTTAACTTCGAGTTGATTTGTGCACACTCTGTGTCTTTGGGTTTTTAGAAGTTTTCTAAAAACAATAAAGAGACAATCCCCTTCTGGCTTTCATGCAATTCAAGTGAAAGATGTGGATGATTTGTAAATCAGATTCAAGCATTTTCTTACCATATTACTTCAAGTGTTTTGTTTTGCCTGCCCATCCTGATCCAACATACCTGTACACAGCCATTGGACCTGCCTTAGTTCTTACCCGCTTTTGCATGGGTATATCCATGTCATTAGCAGAAGCTAGGTGGACTACAGGTGTCTCCACCTTTGCTTCTTTCTTCTTGGTATTATATTGCCTCTTAATTCCCTATCTGTGATGCTTTGTGTTGGTTCCCTTTCCTGTAGAATGCTGGAAATAAGTGATGGAAAAAGATGTGAGACTCTGTTTGTCCTTCTATCAGTCTATCATCAAGATAATGATCTAAAAGCAGAACATAATAGGACCAAATAACTGGCTGGGGTGATGAAGAAAATTACAATATGTTAAGAAAACATTCCTTAATGGAGTGTTTCATAAACATTTTTCCCTCAGAATCCTTCCCACTTTTAAAAGTTATGAAGGACTCCATAAGAGCTTTTGTTTGGATGGGTTGTCTATATTTACCATATTAATTTTTTTTTAAAAAAAATTAAAATCCGCTGCCACTACTGCTTCTCATAATTGTTTGATGGGATTTTAATATTATATTATTTTTTGACATAAACTGGAAAATAATTTGATTTTGTGAATCCCTGAGAGGGTCTTCAGGGGCACTCAGGGCCCTTTGGACCACATTTTGATGAACACTGCTGTAAAACATCCTTATGGGAAAAATACTTGGGCATCAGCTCAAAATGTTGTAGGCTTTCATTTTAAACCAAGCCATTTCTCTTTTCATCATGGAACACAGAAAGAAGTATATGAACCCATCCTATGCTTCTTCCTGCACACGCATAAATCCACCCACCCACACCCACATATATGCAAAAATACAGCTCAAAGGGATAGTAGAAAATGCATAATACAAAGCAAAACCTCCCTTCATTGCATAGAAAGAACCACAAATAATGGACCACTACTGATAATGGTGTTGAAATTCCAGAAGCCATGATCAGTATACTTTCCCTACTAAGCTTTTCCTGCATTCTGGTTTATCTATCATGTCTTTGTTTCTTAAAGACACTCCTTATTATATCTCTTGACTGTCCTATTCCTTAGCACATCTGCCTTCTTGGTCTTAGAGTCTCCATCCTCTACCCCATGATCATGCTGGCAAACTTCCTTAAGTTTAAAGGACTAAAATGAAGATGAAATATTTGGTCTAAAATGAAGATGAACCTGATTTTTTTAAAAATTCCCACAAAGGAACATTAGACAGAGAAAAGACACACAAAAATCCCATGCGAAGGATTGTGGCATAAAGCTATATACATGGTATGTATGCATAGGCTGTTACTGTACTGGACCTAGATGTGCTCAGCTTAGTATTCTCCATATAAGTTGGAGAGCAAATCAGAAAAAAACAAGATTCTTGGGGTCTCTTGAGCTGAGTTCTTTCTCCTTTCCCTTGCAAGAAAGAAAGCACAAAAAAAAAAAAAAAACCCTCTACCTGCTCTTACTCCAAGGAAAGTTGGCCTAGGACTCATTGTGTTCAGTCAGCATGCTATCCCCACTCTATTAGTTACTAAAAAAAAGCAGAATCCTGTATTATTTTAGAATCCTTATCAGTAAAGAAACTCTTTGTGTAAAATGCTCACTATACAAGGCGAAAGGGGAACAGGTTTACCTTGTCCCCTTGAAGCTAAGGCCATGCGCCTCCCTCTCATTATTTACATTTTCCACCCATTTGCTCACTTTCAACCATCTCTTCCTCTGCTATTACATTCCCAATGACTGTCACACACACCCTCCCCCAAGCAATTATTTGGGGGGCAAGGGGGCAGGGTCATCTTCCTTTCAAGTCAGTATGGTAATTATTTGCTCCCAGCTGTTTCTCCCAGCCCAGCTGTGGCTTGGCTGTCACAATCAAAATATTAACATTATTTCAGACATTAAGAATATAAAAGCCACATCTTTCAACTTCTTATGAGAAACTAGAGTTTATGAGTGTTCTTTCTTCATGTAAGTACACAGCAATTGGAATCCTGGGGAAAGTTCTGTGATCTCGTAATAGCTCAAACAATTTCTATCTAAATGAGGAGCTTAAGAAAACATAAGATAAGATCACCTTTATTGTCATTTTTATACTGTGGGCACAATGGCACACATCAAAAATGAAATTTAGTTGCCTGCTCTCAAAGTGAAACATATACATGACACACACCTAAACATACTATGAACAACGTCTGGTTCTGGATGATTTTAAAAGGTTATTCTTCATTCATGAGATAACGCTAAAATGTTCAATGTATTTAATTGGCAAAGATAAAGAGATTCAGGTACAATCTCAGAAGTATTGCTTTGCCTCATGTTTTGCTCAGTACCCCCCAAAATTCATTCGTGATTCTGCAGTTTTGTTTTGTTTTGTTTGGAGTTTTGTACTATATACAGTGTAGGAAAGCTAAATAAGCTGTGCTTCAGCAAATAGTTTTCTTCCAAATGCAGCTGTGATCTAGTCTGATGTTAAGGCCTTTCCCTCACATTCTGGGATACTCTCATAGCACAAAATTGTGCCGCGTGACTTCATTCTGTAGGAGGGAAGCCTGGCTTTTCTTTCCCTCAAATTCGTGCATGCATTTACTGGGCAATTCCCATTGCATTCATGTGCTGGGAGCAGATACCTTTCAACTTCTTGGGTAAGGCAGGTGTAGCTAAAGAAGGGAAGATTTTCAGTGCTGGTGCTCAGCTTTGTCTTCTCTCTCCTAGGAAACTCACCCAATAAATTGGCTTGGCTTATTTCCTATGCCTTTTGATGCTGCTGAAAATTGTCTTTTGCTGATCATCTGGTGGTGAGGGTTGGTTTTTTTTTTTTTTTAGGATGTTGCTCCTTCTGCGAACTTCCTTAACTTATCATAGATTTCAAATCCGATTTGGGACAATTCCTTCCTTCCTTAGCAGTTCTTCCCTTTTCTCCTCTGTATTGTTCAGCAGAGCCTTAGCCCTTTCCCAAGGGCATACTGTAGGTTGCTGGATAGAGGGGAAATGGGGGGGGGGAATGTTCCTACTGTCTTTAGGTTATCTGAAGGCCCCAACTAAATTTCTCTGAAGATTCCTTGTTTTTATGCTTTTCATAAGGTACTCCAAGACTGCTGATTGTCCCTGAACATCTGGAATATAACTGTTAAAAATCAATCAGTTTAATACATAATTCCTGTCCAATGCAACAGATTTTTTAACTGAGATCATTTGCACTAATGGTATCTCTCTGATCTTGAGAGAAGTACATTGTAGTTTTATTTACTGAAAATTGTACTGATTAGATGAAATGGAACCATTCCACTTCATGCTACCAAACTGTGTGAGGATATCAAACCAGTATGAAGTAGACTCTCTGTCACCATTATCCACTCTCTTAGTACACAAACATGAGATTGTAGTGGTACATTTTGATAATTTTTCTGCAAATTAAGCTCAGATAAGTCTCCAGGTATCATAAGAAATAAGAAAACAAAAATCCAGGTCTAATTGCTACCATGAATGTGCAAATGTTCATTGAATACAAAACTTAGGAAAAGAATGGAAACCCAACAGAGGCAGCAATGTGTACTTAGGAACAGATAGCGCCAAACAGCCTTAAGATAAGAATTAAATGCATTTGTAACGATACAAGCTAATGCTTCAGGGTATCTAACTAAGTTTGGGGCCATTAACCTTCTTGTTCTTTCATGGCGCTGATTTGATTTGCACCACTTAAAATGCAATCCTATATGACCTATCAGCAAAAAAGCAAGCCTTATTTTGCAATATAAAACAAATTGGATCCCATATTCCAGAGTAAAAGTAAATAGGATTGCAAGTGGAACGTGTATAACTTCGTTCTCTTGTCATCACAATCTGCAATATAGAGTTTATGCTGCCAGGTGAATTGGAAGTGGTATGCTGCCGACAATAAGGAATGGTGAGAGGGAAAAGTATTCTGCCACTCAAATGAAGTATTCGGAAATCAAGGGCTTCCGTACGAGATCTACGCAGGGGAAACCTGACTTGTGGAGACTGTAGATGTCTCTGTCTTGGTGCCAGCAGAAGTGTCTTCCTCTGCCAAAGGATTCTTTCCACAGCAAAGCGTGGTGATCATACAGTTGCGGAACTACAAATAAAAGTTTAAAAATCATTAGCAAATGCAACTTGCACCTTCAGGCAGAAGCTGTAATAACCATGTCAAAAGATCAGTGATAATTCTAGAATCTGGAACACGCTAATGACTGTTCTACTAAGAAGTGCATTTTTTCAATTGGTCCTAATGCACTAACTGCAGCCCTTCCTCAGTTGCAGATTTAGTGAAGGCTATCCGCTGAAGATTAGCTATGTATTACCCGTGTTTCCCCAAAAATAAAAAGGAGAGGTTTTTTTGCCTCCAAAAGAGGCACGGGTCTTATTTTGGGGGGAGGGGGCACCAACAGCCCAGCCCAGCCAGTCCACTTCTTCTGGGGCTGAAGGAGCAGCTTCATTCTGCAGCTGCATTCCAGCCTGCATTTTGTAGTCAGGCTTTTCCGGAAGGCCTATGCACAGCCAAGTACCAAGCTATGGATTGAATGTAGCTCAGTACTCAGCTGCAGATGTCTTTCAGAACCAAGCTATGGATTGAATCTATAGCTTGGTTCTTGGCTGCACAGGCCTTCAGGAAAGGCCTATGACTGAGTAAGGCAGGCCTGGCTGCAGAAGATGCCTCAGAAGAAATGGGCCAGTGAGGCCTGGATGTGGGGCGCATAGGGCAGATCCACACACCCACCCCCAACCTAGCTTGATTTTTAAGTGTATGCCCAGCCCTAAAACTAAGGCTTATTTTCAGGGTAGGGCTTATATTAGGCCCACCCCCAAAAATCAAACTAGGGCTTATTTTCAGGACAGGCCTTACTTTCAGGAAAATAGGGTATTTCCAATTCTTCTGAAGTACCACAGTGTGTTTTATGTTGAGTGTTCAAAGCATCCACAAAATGCAATTGGTAAAAACTAGCCATGTTGTTGATCTCTGCATGATATAGGGAATCATATGATACCTGTACTGGGCACAATTTAAGGTGCTAGTGTTGACCTTTGAAGCCCTACACGGCTTACAATCAGATGACCTGCAAGACCTTCTCTCCTGCTTTGAGCCTTCCTTGTGTCTGATAGGCGCTTCTGAAGATGCCCCTGTGCCACAAACTTGGCTATTGGATACCCAAGGTTTTTTCTGGGTAGTTCCAGCTATGCAATCCCTAAATACATACCTAAAAAGGCATATTTAGTTTTCTTTCTCCCCGAATTTAGGATGATGGCAAAGACACAGCTTGTGATCAAGCTTTTACAATTTTAATCATTACAATTTTCAGCCAACTTTAGGTCATTTTAATCATAAAATGAATATAATTTGAACGACTTAAATTGCAACAGTCATACTTTTTATTACTGTAAACTGCATTGAGAGTTGCAAGGTGTGATATAAATTTAATAATAAATAAAAGGAATAAAAATCTGGACATTCATTTTCATTCATAAGGGCAGCCTCCCACCATCTGGCTCCCTCTGCTTCCCTGGCCCTTTGATTCACTTGGGTTTGTACTGAAGATGCTTTTTCAAAAGGCAACTGGACTTTGTTTTTTCTTTGAAGACATTTTGCTTCTCATCCAAGAAGCTTCTCCAGAACTGAAGAAGCTTCTTGGATGAGAAGCAGAACATCTTTAAGGAAAAAACAAAGTCTAGTTGCCTTTTGAAAAAGTCTAGTTACCTTTTGGGACAACCATGACCTGGATGATTAAGACTCTGTATAGACTATGGGGTTTGTAGTCTAATGTAACTGGCAGGCATAATTGGCTAAGTCTTTATTTGTCCTTCCATGACTGTTCCTCCTGAAATCCTAGAGAAAGAGCTCATATTTATTTTAATTGGTCCCTGTGTTTCAAGGTCAGTGAAAATCCTTGGCACACTCCAGACACCAAGGAAATAATTCATAAACCTATAATTCATTCTGTTTAAAATAACAGAGTTCAGCCTTCTTGCCTTGAAAGGCTCACAAACACTGAGTTTTGTTAGCAGCTTCCTTTGATCCAATGAAAGAAGGAGAAGCTTTTGGCAAGTTCAAGAGTATAAGAACATCTTCTCTGGCCCAAAATCTTGACCTATAACACATACACACACACACGCACACACACACTACACTACACTTTGAACAGGTTGCTTGGGATTTTCAGACTGTGTCAGCCCCAGAAAGATGCATTGCTGTGTAACATAATGAAGAAGTAAAATTCAGTCAAGAGAGTGGCTATGTCATGGGCTAGTTTCATTTGCCATCTGGCAATGAAACCACTGAAAGTTCTGCCGGCTTCCCCCCAATCCTGTATTTATAATACGGAGAATAATTAGTCTACCTGGCAGGGTTTGCAACATGAATTATTATGATGTACTGTATATTGGAAGCACTTTAAGCACTTAGGGAAAATGCTGTAAATGCCCATCATCATTACACTCTTGAAAAGCTGTGGCAACATTTCCAAGTTACCTGTCTGTTCATTAAGATATAAATCATTGGATTGTAGACTGCAGAGCTCTTCGCAAAGAAGGCTGGGACGGTCATAAAGACAGGACCAAAGTCAGATCCTTGATGAGTAAAGATATAGAAAGCCACAGAGGCATAAGGGACCCAGCAAACAAGGAAGGCAATCACCATAATGATAACCATGCGAGTGACTTCTCTCTCAGCCTTCTGAGTGGTGGCTGATTCCTGTTGCTGAGCAGCAGCCTAAAAAAGCACAACAAAGGATGTGATTGAGACTTTGCAACTGTGCTGTTCAGAATGGACAGATGTTAACCAGAGGAAGGGCCCTACACATTTTAATAAGTGTGGAAAGAAGAAACTCTACATTATGTGCAGCTCTCAAGAAACAATTGTGGCCTGCAGTCCCACCTACAGCTAACACATTTGTGTGTGTGTGTGTGTGTGTGTGTGTGTGTGTGTGTGTGTGTGTTTAAGTTAAAATTAAATGTAGTAAATTTAAGAGGGGAAGTCTGGATAAGGGAAATATAAAATAAGTGGAGGACATTTGAGAAGAAGGTGGGTTTTACTTCAGACCTGATCATGTGGGGCTTTGCCCACCCCCATTGTCTCCTGTTCCCCGTCCTCATGAAGCCCTAACACAAATGCTCCCACAAATTATTCTGAATATTCTTTGCAGCAAAGCACATATCTGGGATGCTGGAGAAGGATTTCTCAAAAATCTATTAAACCTTGGTGAACTCTTAGCACTGATGTAGCTGGAAAAGCCTGGGAAATTGCAGATACGCTGCAGAAAATGGTGGTAATGGTTATGACCATAACATTATTTCCAAAGAAAACCAACCAATCAAAACTTTCATTATCTTAACAACTCTGGTTCTTATTCTTCTTATGTGGATTAAATGTTTTCGATCTGAATTGGTCTGGTGGAGAAAATATTCCTCTTTCTGTAGAATCACCCACCTCTTTAACGGTGCAGAGAAGACGACCATAGCAGAAGAAGATAATCGCCAAGGGAATAAGAAAATGTACAACGAACATATAGACGACATAGGACTCATTATAGACTTCTGGGGATGGTGTATAATAATCAATTCCACATGAACTCTGCATACCTTCTGGGATATATCTGCATTCATATAAAACATAGGTAGAATATTACAGTTTGTAGAAATAAAGATATTAACCCTTTAATATTGTTAATATGTGCACTATTTCCCTAAAGAAGAAAACTTAAGCAGGCTTCTTTCGAAGAAGATATCTTGGGAGCATTTCTTATTCATTTGAAGGAGGTAAGATTTATTTATTTTTTCATTTCCAAGATAGTATTAAGTAACCAAGAGTCAGTTTTGTGTAGGGATTAAGGCATCAGGCTAGAAACTGGGGGACTGTGAGCTCCAGTCTCACTGTGGGTACAAAGCCACAAAGTCATTCTCTCTCAGACCTAAGAAGGAGGCAATGGCAAACTACTGCTGAAAACCTTGCCAAGAAAATTGTAAGAACTTGTCCAGGCAGTCTCTAAGAAGTGGACATAATTGAGTGAAAGGGGAAAAAAATCAGGTAAACAGGGCTAGTTCACTATTCTGGCTGTTGGTTATTTAACTATTTATTCCAAGGGTCTTCAAACTTGGCCCTTTTATGTGCCTGGCTGAGGAATTCTGGGAGTTGAAGTCCACAAGTCATAAAAGGGCCAAGTTTGAAGACCCCTGATTTATTCATTTCTTCATTAACATGTGAGTCTGCGCATTTGGTACCAGTCTTAAGAGGCTTGGAACAGCTGAGGCTTTTTAGCCAACTTTTTAGCCGGCTTTAGCCAGCTCAATTTCAGTTTGCTGATATTGATTTGAATAGTCACCTTATTTGAATATAGGAAGAAAATAAGAGCAAAAGGATAAGGAATGTGGACATGCACATTAAAAGAGGGTATATCAGAGATGTACCCCTGATAAATAAATACAGGAGTAATGTTGTTGAGATTTTGGATACTCATAGCTTGGTGCCAACAAAAATCCTCTGTGTAAGTTATTTTTCCACAACAAGAGTTGATTAAAAAAAAATCCAGTGGCATCTGAATTTTGACTTTCCAACTTTATCCTGGAAATCCTGGAAATTGCAGTTCAACACACCTAGAAAATGCCAGGTTGGAAAAGACTGACAGATTTATTATCCTTAATATTTATAACAAAAGATATGACTGGCACACCTGGACCTACGTATTACTTCTATCCCCATTAGCTCTCTTAGGTTTGTACTTCAAATCATATCAGGGATTCAACAGATACCCACCTTGACCATCCAACTAGAGGAGGACCAGCACAAGCCAAAGCCATGATCCAAGTGAAAGCCAATCCCATTATGGCATGAGTTTCGGTGAAACGGAAGTTGCTCATGGGCTTACAAACTACTACATATCTTTCTATAGCCAGGACTACAAGAGACCAAAGAGCCACCTCACCTGTAAGAGAATAAAGCAACCACGTATTTAAAAAATATTTTTAAAACCCCAGAGAGATGGAAAAACATTTCCAAGACCAAATGAAAATATTATTTTCTGATTTCCATTGTTGTGATCCTTCATAACATTGCTGCATTGCATTGATTGTATTGCATTGCATTTATGGGCTTCCCATTCAGAAAATATCCTTGGAATGTTTTGTAAGGGTGAAACAAAGGAACAACAGTAAAATAAAGTAAAACGATCTAATAGAGCATAAAAATCCAGACAATCATATAATCAATCTACATTTTAACATTTAAAGAGCCATAAGTTACAAAAAAGGTGTTAATATTTAAATGCCTGCCAAAGGACAAAATTTATACACGTAGAGTGAATATGCCAACTAGATTTCTTTAGGAAGAGACAATTCTACAGAACAGAGAGAACCTCAGGAATAGAGGCATAGGGAGAAGAGACCTCTGATGCTCTTGCAACAAACAGTAGAGATGTGGGGAAAAGAGGGTTCTTCAGGTTGACAGAAGCTAAGCTGTTTGGGGCTTTAAATACCAACAACATAGTTAACAAATAAAAGATAAAAAACAAACACCAGGATATAATAAATCAGCCTGTTTAATATAAACAAGCCTGTGGTTAAGAAGAGTCACTAAGCTTTCGTCCTACCAAAAACTGCCGGCGTCATCAGAGTTAAAATAGAAGGAGATTGGGAAGGCAGCTCATATAGCCTCCTGCCTCTGCGCCCGGCTCCTTAAGCACATAATCGGCCCGTTGATTGTATTAATCCGTATCGCGCAGAGTTGTTCTGCATCAGGCAAACTGTCTTTGGCTCCACTGGTTGTTTTACGATCCTCAAGTGCTCTTTTAGAGCGTGTGCAAGCACTTGGAGGGCGGCTGTCAATCCGTCCCTGCGCCCAGTCTCCCTCCCTCCCAAGGCCATTATCCTCCCCCACCTCCAAGGCCATTGTCGTAATTCCTCCGCTCCAGTCCTGCAACAAGCAGCTGTTCCGGCATTCCTGCTCTCTGTCTTCCAGATCATCTCAGCACATCCGTCCCTGGCTTAGGGCCGTTTGATCCAACAACATAGTGCACTCTGAGGCCCCATCCCTGAAAATCACAGGTTCTGGCAACTGCAGCTGCCATGTCAATGAAATAAAATCTTTGCATTAGCCGCATTCATTCATTTGGTCTGGGGAAAACAGTGTAAATCCCCGGTCGATAGCATTTTGAACAGGTCTGGAAAACTGACTGGGGATTAGTGTAGGTATAAAATTGTGGAATACTTAAAACGGCCAGATCCAGTAAGCAGTTTTCTTCTCTATCCTTCATTAACTTTGATTATCTAATGCAGGAGTTCCCAACCGGGGGGGGGGGTGCTCGAACTTTTGTATGGGGTGCGAGAATATATCAGAAGCATTCTAGGGGTGTGAGGTATAGAAAAGATTGGGAGCCGCTGATCTAATGTCTCCAGACATTCTGCCACATGTAACATATTACAATAACCCATATTAAGGGTTTGCCAATAGATGCAGGAAGAGCAGGTAGATGGACCAGGGCTGCTACAAGGCATGAAAAGCCAGCCATTTTTCTATGGTAGAGTCATCTTATATATTGTAACCGCAGCAAGATGCACAATGATGGAAGAATAATGAAATCCTTCTGTGGAGGAATGGATTGTGAAAATGACAGAACTCATAGGGGGGGCAAAACTGGACCTGTTTGGGCAGATTAAAAACAACAAAAAATGTTTATGAAAAACTGGAAACCTTATATGGACTTTCTGCTGAAAGGAGAAAGACATTAAATGATGATTTATGGGTCCGAAGATTAAGATAGAAATGGACTAAATGAGGACCTGAAGGAATTTATATAATATCTAAGAATGAGGAAGGATTATAAAATTGTAACTATCTGTTGAAAAGAAGATGAGAAATCATTATATTTCTTTAGTTCTTTATTTTCTTTTCCTTGCACTTTTTCTTCTTTCCTTACCTTTCTTTTGATTATATTGTATGGAAACATTCTCAATAAATATAAATAAATAACAGTCAATATTTTTCTGAGGAATTTTCAGATTGGTGAATAGAATATTCTGGGGTCAGAATATACGTGAAGAATCAGAGAAACCTTGGGGATAATCCTGTTCTCAGAATGGATCCAGAATTGGTTGCAAAGTGGAAGTACCAGAGTGCATCTTAACTAAGTACTCTCATGTCATTCCCACGATCTTATTCCATGTCTAATGAGTCTCTTTGAAAGTGTCCTCATTTTTGAAGTTCAACCCGTATATGAATTTGGCAGATCTCTGTAATTTTGCCCAGAGCTGTCCCAGTTAAATGCATGGAATGGGGGACAAATTTAATAAGAAAAAGAATAAAGCAGCCTTTTCTTGCCAATCCTAAAATTTCTATATGGATTTTGTTTTTTTATATTTTATTCATAAAACAGTTCAATTTGTGCAACTCTCCTCTTCAGTCAGTTATTTCCTAGGCAAGTATATTTACATCCAAGAAAGGAAAAAATTGGCATTAAAACACAAATAACAGTGTGTTAACATTTAAACTAAATTTGTATATCAGTGATTACATGACCTCTGTAAATGCCATACACTAAAGAAAATAAATAACAAATAATAGTGAAATAAGTTACAATTAGGGACATTGCTGTTTTATTCCCCTTTAGTCCACACACCAGAACTTCCAAACTTTTCTCAAAATTGTGAAAACATATCGTTTTTTATTCCTTCCCATCACCAGTTTTGAACCTCAACAACATCTCATTTATGCCTTAAACATCATAATGCTTCTCTTATTTCTATCTTTGAGAATAGTTGAATGAAGGATTTGCTTCTTAGAGCACTTAGAAGGGTGAGTTCTTGGAACATTTTTTTTAATTTAAATCTTATTTTCTCTATTATCTGTCTGCACTCAAAGAATAATCTTGGAGCAGACATTAAAAGTTTGTTTCCTTTTCAAGAAACTAAATAAGAAGTTTGCTTCTTTTGTAAAACAGGTTTACGTTGTTTTTGTAAAACAGTGAACTTGATGGAATTACTACAAAAGCTACCTTTCCAAATTTTAAATATTCCAACATGAAAGGTGAAACATGAAATAAGCTGAGATTTATCCGTTTTCTTTGGTTATATATACAGGCATTCTAAATAGAGGAAGACTTTGATAGAATTTGCTTTTCCTAGGTTATTTTATTTCAAAATTAGGACTCCTCTGAGACCAGTACACTTGTGTAGTAAAATATATAATAACAAACCAAATTTAAATCACTGCAAGATGATATTTGAAACGGACTTGAACACATAAATATTTTTTAATGCTTAAAATTTACTGCAGGCTGGTGTGCAAAATTTTGCCAGTCTGTTAAATTGTGAAAAACTTGACAGAAACACCTACCCTCTGCCTGAACCAGAGAAAGATTACAATAAGAATTTTTGTCTAAAAAGAGTTGGTGAACAAATCAACCAGATTTTTATATTAATGCTTTTGAATCTGACTTATTTTATACCATTTCATAGCCATATTAATAACTTGCCTCTTTTTTTGTTTCTGCACTGAGGTCCAAGATATCACTAGAATTTTCCAATGTTAATTGCTCTGGAAATTCTGAGGAACTTTCGGTGTTGTAAAGAATATCCCAAGAACCCTACATGAAAATCTGAACTATGCAATTACAGCCTACAGGTTCATTAAGGGAAAAATGACATTTGGGAAGAGGAATCAAAATACATACCACCCAATGTAGCAAAGAAGCCTTCAATGTTGCATCCTACTGTACCAAAAACGAAATATCCATTCATGGAAGTATACATGGTGGTGGTGAAGCCAGCTAAGACCATGAAAAGATCGGCTACTGCCAAATTTAACAGGATGTAGTTCAGCGGTGTTCTGAGTTTCTTGTGTTGGATGGTGACATACAGGGTTAGAAAATTGACAGGAAATCCAAGCAAAATCAGAAGAAACATATACGCAGCCAAGGCAGAATATTTCCATGGATCTGCCAAATAATATTGGGGATATTCAAATGGACTCCGAACAACACCAGTCTTGTTTGACATGGGGATATAGAAATTAAGGCCTTCTGTTCCATTCATGGTGGCAGCTTCTTAGGTATCTCTTTCCAGCAAAAATGTCTTTCTTTCTAACCCCCTTCTTATATTTTAGCAGTTATTTGCTGAGCTGCTTCTCCCAAGCTAACACTGCTCCCTTTATAAAAGGTGACCCTAGTTAAGACTATATTACTGGTGTCAGCACAACTTAGACTTAGGTCAACATCAATCATAATAATCCAAGATAAAACTGGCCCTTTTAATTCTACACAGTGGATTGACGTTCATCTTGTACTGTGGCTTCGTTTCAAAAGAGCGGTAAGCATATTCAAATACCCAGCATGGATAGCTATATGGAGATGGGAAATAAGGTGATGGACATAGTAGTCAGCTCCTGTCTGGTCCAAGAGGCTGCTTTGTGCCATTTGCTCTTGCCAATACAAACACACCACACAGTCCTTGTGGAAAACCTCACCTGTATCAGGTGGAAGCATCCCATTCTCAGTAGTTAATACAGAGAATGATAGTGTAGCAACTTTTAGGACACTAGTTTCCTCATTGACATTGTCAAATTTGGACAATTGAAATATACAAATTTGAAATTACTTTGAAAGTGGCTACTTTGAAAGAATTCAGGGAATTATATTGATGTTGAATGTGTGTGCATGTGCGTGTGTGTTTTGCTGCAGTTGCTCACAGAACTACGATTCCAAATTCCTGCAGTTAGTCCTCATGAGGGTGAAATAAGAATGCATCTGATCTTACCGTTATATCAAAGATCTATTTTGAATTTCGACCCGACTACTATCAACCATCATTTATAATGTGTCTACCAACTTGAATATCTCTACAATTAAAAACCAAGCACAAAATCAAGTAATGCAAAACAGCATTAAGCCATTGTAACAGTAAACAAAAAACAATAAATAATAGCCTGACTACATCTGTATAAAAAGGTAAACTAGAACTGTATTCTTAAATTAATAAAGCACAGGTGAGACACATGGCATAACAGAAGAATTTTGATGCAACTTGGGAGAGCCCATTGGCTCTACTTACATGAGAAATGAAAGGGGGAAAGGAGAAATTTATTCACATCTCCCGAATCATTAACCAATCCTCTTTTTCTGATTTATGCTAATGTAACTATAATGTGACTGTATTGAGTTCCTACAGGACTGCTTTTGTAAGTAAAGAATTTTCCACTCTTGTGCAGAGATATCATTCTCTCGCTCATGGCTTTTAAGTAATAGCTATAAAAATTAATGCATACACTTCAGAACTGAATCCTTCATTCTGCAACTGTTGAACACTTACATTATCCTATCATTATCCAACGCAGAGTTATTATATACTTGGGTTAACTACACAACATGGGTGTTTTTTTTCAACCAAGTCATATGTTCAGAAAGCCTTTCTGGACAGTAGCCAAAAACAACTGATAAAGAAACTAAAGCCATTCTTGAAATTCCCAGAAGCACATATGATCCTCTATTTACTTCTGGGGATAATTGCTGTCAAGTAACTGTCTCTTGATAAAAATGGGAGCAAAGCATACATTACAAGAAGAAAATATATTCTAGGGGATATTTATAGTCAAAGGTTACATTAAAATTAATTGAACAGGTTAATCAAGACTAAAATAGGTCTTCTGATTGATTTCACATAATGGTTATGATTATACCATAAAATAAAATAAACAGCTCAGTTAACAAATATGTGTGCACGATCATTTTCTTTTTGCATCTCTGACACCTCTTTAAGCAAGCTTTGGGGCTTAGCATGTCTTCCAATCCAAAATGGCTGACATTTTAAGTTCCTAAAACTGAGAATTATATTCAGTTATAAATTACAGTTCCCAGTTTCTAGAAACCTGAAATAGCATGCTTTGCGGGTTCAAACACTTGAGTAAGCCACAAAACCTGCTTAAAGAGCCATATGTGATGGCAATTAATTTGGCAGAACCTGAATCTGGATTTGGATTCAATTCACAGTCTAATATAATGAAGAATGTAGGAAAAGGGAGGAAGGAAGGACGGAAAGAAAGAAAGAAGGAAGGAATTTTGGCTATTGCTGCATTTCGACATTGAGAAAGCATATTAGAACAGTTTGACAGTATTTACCAGGCTACTTTGTAATCCTGACTTAAATGACCATAATTTCAGCCATCATATCTATCCTAGCAGGAAGTTATGGGAAAGAAACACTATAAAATTTCTTGGTGATCCACTATTGTTTTTTCTTTTATATACAAACAGAATTGATTCTTCTAGAGTCTAGACCATAGTTTTTATATTTCATATTTTATATAGGTATTACCTGTGTGTACCTATAATCACAAAGATTAAAGGTTTTTAAAAGTTAAGGAAAGCAATAGCCATTACGTTGCACTCCAGACCATTATTTTTATCAAGAATATTTTCTACATTGCTGAGGTGACCAACTGTCCCCCTTTAGGGAGGACAGTCTTCCTTTTGTGAGTTCTGTCCTCCCTCAAAAAGTGTCTTCCTACATGTCCTCCTTTTCAATATTTGAAGACTAATCTGCAGGGCTTTTTTTTTCTCATAGAATGCTCAGAACGGTGTTCTGGCACCTTTTTTTGATGTTTTTTTTTCAACTTTTGCATGAACTGTGCTACTCCCCCTATTGGCTTTCGAAAGCCAATAGGAATTGCTGCTGAGCGTGCATGAAAAAACCCGGCCAGAAACTTTGCACATGTAAGTTGTCTGCAGTGAAGGCGAATTGGCAGGAACTTTGCACCCCTCCCTGTTACCCAACTACATCATCTCCTAGTTAGTCCTGAAGATACCTGGAGGAGACTGGAGTGGTGACGCCATGGTAACTTTCTCTTGATTTTCAGCCCTGCTAGGGCAATAATGGCTGCGGGCACGAGAGGCAAGGGCGGCGGGGCTGCTGTGGGCAGGGATGTGAGGGGTGGCAGTGGCCGGCTGCCCCCCGTGCTGTGGGAGCCGCGGGGCCTACTCTACATGGGGCTGCACAGGGTGGGCGGTGGTGCTGGCGAGGTGGCTGCAGGTGGGGTGTGTTGATGGCGGGCTGCCCCCCGGGGCCGGAGCTGGCACAGCTGATGCTTTGGGAACCGCGGGGCCCACTCTACACGGCAGGGCAGCAGTGCTGGTGGGGCAGCTGCGGGCAAGGGCGCAGCATGTAAGCATAATTACAATATAAAATGTTATTGTTACAAATGTTTTTATTATGCATTTATCATATTATAGTGTAGTCTGTATTATTGTTGCAATGAATAAAATGTTTCTTTTATTTACAATATTTTTTCTTCAATTTATTTGTGTCCTCCTTTTCATTGTAAAAAAGTTGGTCACCTTAACATTGCTACCCCTATTTTCGAAGCCATCAAACTAAAGTGTGCATGTAGTATGAAGATAATGCTTTGGCAAATTGATTGGCTGTGTATCTGGTGGGAGGCAATATCCAGTTTGCAACAAAGCAGAGGGAGGAGACCAGGTTTTCTCACCAAATGAACTTCCTGATCTCTGCTGCTCTCGTTTACTGTTGAGTCCCAAAAACCAGATTAAGTAATCTGACAATAAAGAACAATTTGAGCATTTGCACCTGCTGTGCTGGGAGAGGGTAAGGTCCCTGAAGGAAATGTGCCCTTGAATATAAAACTGGCAGCTTTTTTTTTTTTGACCTAAGGACCTGTAAATGGAAAATATCAGCACTTAAAATGGGGCCTTCTGCATACAGTTTCTGGTCCTGCCCTCAAAGGTTAAATATTCTCTTCTCCTTTGCAGACTATTGGGAGGAACTGTAATATCTAATCTAAAAAATTAAGAAGCGAGTATAAGCTGCAGCAGGAGAATGTCTTGCTAAGTGGAAGGAAGGCAAAAAGGAACAGAAATGTACTGTGACAAAATCATTTAGTTGTGAAACTGTGCCTGAATTATGTACAAAATTACATAAGAGAGCAGTTGTCATATTTTCTTCATGAAGGAAGATGTACAGGTACAACATAAATAACACTGATTCCAGGCCATATTGATCTGAAAGCAGAGCTAGCATATTTGACTCATCTTTATTAGTGATACATGCATATTTAATTAAGCTTTCACTGTATTTCTTACCTTATTATTTTTATTATAAAAGAAACCTCCACTACTGCTCCAAGGAATGAGGTCCAGGGAAAGAGGTAGAATCAGAGTCATGACATCATCCAATGCTAGCCAATCAAAGCTGTGCATAGTCTATTCTGCTGCAGACTTCCCAAGCCACAATTCACTGAATGTGTTCACGAGGACCAAAATGATTATGCATACCAGAATACAAGGAATGGCACCTTCTTAACTATTTTATGCATATTACTATCCAAGTCAAATGTATAAATAAAATATATTAATAGCGGATCGCAAAGAAATGCAGATATTTTTGGTAAACATATGTCCCTCTGTTTTGAGAAACCAAACCAATTACCACAATTCATTCGGAAGGAAGGAAGGAAGGAAGGAAGGAAAGGAAGGAAGGAAGGAAGGAAGGAAGGAAGGAAGGAAGGAAGGAAGAAAGAAAGAAAGAAAGAAAGAAAGAAAGAAAGAAAGAAAGAAAGAAAGAAAGAAAGAAAGAAAGAAAGAAAAACACTTCGTACCCAGCCAAGCTCATCCAAGGGCATGGGAAACAGCTAGTGGACATGGCCTAAATAGCTAATAGTTTCTTAACATGGCTTTGGCATTGCTGGATTAAAGGTTTATCTTTCAGATAATGAAATGGATCATATTAAGACCTGATTCAATAAGCCATTGCTGAGGTGGGCATAGCTTACCAGCAAAATTGTCACCTACATCAACTGGGTGGAAAAAAAGAACAGCAAAAGAGAAACGTGAGATACTGTTTAAATATTGTTCTAATCTGTAATAGTAAGGCAAAGCTTATCATCTTAACCAATTTGCTTAAACTGCCATTTCTGAATTAAATGTGTGTTTATCAGAACCTCTGAAAAGTCTGAGCAATAATGAAGGGACATAAAGAGACATCTTTGCTGGCATGAAAAACCTGCTGTTGAGACCGCTGTCAAAGTTCCTGCTATATCTGCATATGGTTAAGACTGCCTATTCTTAAGCATCGCTTCCATTTAACTGTTTTCATGCCTACATGGAACACCAAAAACTGCCTTAGCA